AATAAATCCCTCAAGGTTAACAAGTAAAGCTCACATACCCAAGACAAGCTCTCAATCCAAAACCCAGCCTCCAACCCTTCCAAGGTGAAAAAACCGAGCCCCTAAAGAGATCAAATCAAAGCTTTAAAGGCAGATCAAATGCAGTATATGATAGCAAATCCAAACCCAGCCATTTTTAAGCAAACCGAAAACCAACAAGGGCCAAAACGAAAACTCTCAAAGCTAGTAAAAGAGCTTCAACACCTCAACGAAAGTCAAGACCCAAGCCTCAATAAAAATCAACATCTCATGCACCTGAAATGAAAATCGAGTACCAACAAAAACCCCAAACCGAGCCATTCAAGGCCGAAGAACAGTCCACGTGCCTTTAAAACATCAGTATATGGAGCCAAAATGGATTTTAAACTATAACATTGTCATGGAAAATATTTTTAGGCCACCAATATAATCGTTCTAAGCATGAATCAACTTCCCTCAAACATCCAAGCATGAAAGATGCCTCCCCTTGAGGAGCCAAACCAAATTATTAAAGCAAACTATATAACCTTTCCTAAATCAAAGTTAACTTCTTCATAACATGCATTTTTAAGCCAAAAAGGAATTTGAGATGCTAAACCGAGCCTTCCACATGCATGAAAGACCAAATAAAACCTTCCAATGTCTCATGCTAGATAAGAATAAATGAAAAGCTTCATGATACATATCCTATCATGCTTGCAAAAGGAGCTAACTTTGTCTCAAAGCCACATTTCAACCCTCCTAATTGCTTCCAATAGAAATATGCTGCAATAAATGGAAACATGCCATAGCTTCACCACTTTAAGCAAGTAATCAAGTCTAACTCCTAGAACATGCTCATATTTCCATTTCTAGATGCTTGAGTATCAAGTATTTCAAAAACATAAGTGTAATATCACGCAAGCATGTTGTATCGTCCACTGCACCAAGCTAAGGAGCTCAACAGAGAGAAAACCGAAGAAAGACAAGGCACAGAGGGGGAGAAAGTATCTCCCTGAAGCAAAGAAAAGCCACACAAAAATTTTCAAAGCACTCCTCCACATCAATCCTTCAACAGTAAGAGGAAACAAACCCAAGTACAACAGGCTAAAGAAGTAAGTGAGAAAAGAAAATGACAGAGTTTTCCCCCCTCAGAGATTTTCGGCATACCCCCAGGGCTACAAAACCAAGCTCTAATAAATAAGGAGAAGAATGATTAAGAAGATACGGCAGAGGGATCAAGCGCAGAGGATAGGATCCTGGCAGAGGCCACGCTTTGCGGCAAGAGAGTCGAGAACAGAGGATACGATCCTCGCAGAGGATGAGATACGATAAGGGATGGGTCGCGAGATCGTCTCGCGTGCGCGAGGCGAGCGCGGGAACGAGACTCCAACGGCACAAAGGAGCGGGCCAGGTGAAACCGAGCGAACCGCGGCTAGGGCAAAGGTCCACGAGCGCGAGAGGAAGAAACGGGAGTGGAAAATGAAATTAGGTTAAGGATTTTTAATATAAGTTAATAATAATAATAATAATAATAATAATAATAATAATAATAATAATAATAAAAAAAAATATTATTTATTATTATAATTAACATTTTATTATGTATTTTCTCCAAGACGCGCAGTTGCAATGAAATGAACGTCCCCCTTAAGCAAAGTCGATGTTCCGGACGCATCGATGCAGTCCGTTTCGTCATCCGGAGTCGTCCGGGCAACCTCGTCGTCGATCGGTCAAAACAAGTCGCGGTTTGAATCCTATCAAAATTCCAGTATGAGTTCAATCAAATAGGACGGTGCAGAGGACGGCGACGCCAAATCAACGAGTACAGTCAATCCTAAGGCCGACAGTCCTATAGGAATACTCTTTGTGTTCCTTCGGAGTAGCCTTACCTGCTAAGCAATAGCGGTCAAAACTACTATATGGAACGTCAAGTTGAGCGAAGAAAAGTTCAGAATTGCTAACGTGGATGGCTCCTTCACTAATTTTCTAGGAGTAGTCGACAGAAAGGTCCTACGACTAGATCTTAGGCTACTAAGGAGGGGAAAACTGCACATCGATTGAAAGCGAGGTCAACAGTCCTATAAAAGCATCCATAATTAAAGCACAAAGATATGGGCTTAAAGCCGATCCCTGATGTAATCCGATTGAAATAGGAAAATACTTGGTTAATCGTCCTTGTGTTTGAACACAACAACTATAGTATACATATCTTTAAGGAGTTGAATATAAGTCATATCAACATCTTTCTTCTCTATATCAACATCTTTCTTCTCAACATCTTTCTTCTCTAGAACTCCTCTTGGAACCTTTTCACAAGCTCTTTTTTAAATCAGTAAAAATCATATGTAGATCTTTCTTATTCTCTCAATACTTTTCCATCAAACCTCTCAAAAAATGTATAGCTTCCATAGTAGACTTGCCCGACATAAATCCAAACTGTTTATGAGAAATATTTGTATCAAATCTTAATCTATGTTCAATTACCCTCTCTCATAATTTTAAAGCATGACACATCATTACATGACACATCATCGTAATTCCTCTATAATTTGCACACTCTTGTGTTTGTAATTTCTCTATAATTTGCACACTCTTGTGTGTCCCCTTTATTCTTAAAAATGGGGACCAAATGCTCTTTCTCCACTTCTCAAGGATCTTTTTAGTTTTTAAAATAATATTAGAATTTAGTTAGTCGATAAAATCTCAAATCTCCTAAATATTTCCACACTTCAATTGAGATATCATCAGGTTCTACTGATTTTTCACCTTTTATTTTGTTTAAAGTTTCATCAACTTCTTTTTTACTAATGCAACGGTAGAAATAAAACGTTTTATTATTATTAATGATATTAAGATCACTAAGGTTGATCGTATTTTTAGAAACTTTATTGAGAAGTTTACTAAAATAACTCACTAATCTATATTGAATATCTTTCTCTATGAAATAGATTTTTTGATTTTCATCTTTAATACATTTTACCTTAATTAAATCTTTACTTTTATTTTCTCTTTTTTTTTTTTTTTTGTTAGTTTATACATATATTTTTCACCCTCTTTAGTATCAAATCTATTATAACGATAATTAAAAGTAAAATTTTTAGCGTCATAATAATTACTAACAAATAACTAAATTATTTTTTTAGTCTTACGTCTAATAAAAGTCTTCAAACTGTTTTGGCGGGCTCGACGTTCTCTGAGTGGAGCATGAGGCGGATAGTGCTGTTGGCGCCGATCTAGCACACAACTTTTAAATGGCATTTACTAAGTGAGTGTGGAATCAACATTAATATGTAGTTGTTTATCTATAGAAGCGACAACTCATGAAGGAAGCTCAGGCTAGGTATTCTGACTAAAATCATGAATAGAGGTGAAATAAGTGACATTTTGATTGATAGAGTTGATTTCAAGATTTAGAAAAAGACAGTGCATTCCAAATCATCAAGAAATGAAGAATAAAGTATTAAAAGAGGCTCACATGGCAGGGTATAATATTCAGCTAAGTGGAACAAAAATGCTTGAAGATTTAAAACAAAGGTTTTGATTATCTAAGGATGATGAGGAAACATCATAATGTGGCTAAATATTTAGCATTTCAGAAGATCAAAGTTTAACATCAAAGTCATAGAGGATAACTGATGGAAATGGTGCATGCTTCAATGGAGCTTCAATGTGACCTGAGGATACCTGAAAAAAAATACTTGCCAACATTTTTTTTTATGTCTAGGCAATGAATAGTAAAGAAAAATATGAATTTATACCTATTTGCTCTGTAAAATTTTTTTTTCTATTAATTAATCCAGATGTGCGATTGAGATGTGATTATGAGGTAAATCATATTTTTTTTTCTGCGTTGATTCTGTTTATTCTTCTAAACCAAATACAACCTTATATTTGGATGTTTGCTTATTTTCTTACAGTACTGTATTTCATTTTGTCGTCCTTTAATAATGATAGTTATTGCCTCTGAAACTATGGGTTTAAAAGCTTTTTCATATCCATGCCATATAGTTTTTGGTGACATGAGAACAATGATATTCAATGGTACCTCATTATATTCCCAAAATTGTCTATCTATTTTATATATTTTGGAAAATCTGATTTTCTATATGTGGATAGGTCCATGGGGTATCTAATTCTAAATTTCATTTAGAAAAATTTATTATGCACACATGGATGAATTATATTTCTTAAAATGTATTCATTTATGTGTATCAGCTTGTCATGTAACTTTGTTGCTTTTATGTTTTATAGTTTTCATTTGACTATTTGGATACACAGAAGTGGATGAATTATACGCATGCATGCTTCTGTTTATGTTATAACATGTATATATGTACATGAATGAAAGGTAGATATGTTTAGCTTGTCCGCATGCTCATTTCTATGTTCGTATAATGCATTGTTTCTCTCATCCCCATTTCAAGTTGTGATTCATTGGGCACAATTAGTGTTTCTTTTGAAAATGAAAAAAAAAAAAAACGTATAATGCATTGTTTCCCTCATCCCCATTTCAAGTTGTGATTCATTGGGCATAATTAGTGTTTCTTTTGAAAATGAAAAAACAAAGAAATTTACTAGAGCAGTGCTTCACTTTATTGAAGCTATTTTTGCTTTGCTCTCTAAATATATATGTCTTCAATGTTGAAATTTGTAATTCTCCCTAAAAAATGTTTGGCATGTGATGCTTTTTATAAAAACTAAATGATGATGATGGAAAATTTGAAATGTAATATTTTGTATTTGTATTCTTAAGGGAAATGAGATGATTAGTCATGATTTTCCAATGTTAAATTGGTTTTTCTATTTTCTCTTTATCTTTTTATCTAAGTGATGTTGGTATTTCGAGCATAACAGTCTTTTTGTCTAATTGATGTATTTTTTTTGTCCCGACTGATTTCTGCAGACTGTTCCTTCTTGTCAAAATTTGTACAAGAATTCTTTCACTTATTACTGCCTCCCAGATGACAAGAATCTACAGTTCGATGATGCAAACCAATTTTTAGGTATTTCCATAGCACACTTATTACGCATTACCGTTTATGTTGGAAATTTGTTGTTTGCTACACTATCTTCTCTTTGTGCATACCATGCATTGGCACCTAATGACAATTTTTATATCCCATCACATAGTGAAGACTTTAAAACTTCATTTTGTAAAACTGTTCTGTTGTGCTCTCTGAAGTAAAATTGCTGCGCTTTCAGGCATCCCCTTGAAACCAAAGCTTGTTCCAAGTAACTAAAGCAGGAGAAAAGCTGCATTAATTGAAGCCTAATGTCCATCTGGGAAAAAATATCAACTTTTAATATTATGTGCTTTCAAAAAATGAGAAACATTGATATGACATAAATAACATGCTCTCACGCGCGCGCGCGCACATACTTGGACCGCACAAACAAAGATATAAATATACATTAAATGGACCTTTCCTCTCATAAGTGGAAACTTATTGTGTTCCTGATCGTTTTTTTTTTTGTCTACCATTTTTTTGACATTCCTAGATATGACATCTACTTGGGCATGTCGTTAGTCTTAATGACATAAAAGATAAACAAAATTATAAGGGCAGATGAGATGTCCGTCTGAAAATTAGATTAGTATATTTCTTAAAAGCTAATGACATAAGTCATAACGTACTCCACTATAGCTTCTATCAGATTGTATCGTAGCTTTTTCCACTGTGTAAGTCACATCGTGATCCACTACGGAATCTGCCAAGGTACGCCTCTGGTAACCTTTTTGATGTGAAAAATTAATAAAAGAACAAGGCAAGATGATGTTTGTTTGCAAACTCAATTGTTCTCTCTTTTGAACCTGAAAAGCACAAGTCAACAAACCACATCCCACGATGGCATTTGCCAAGGTGCTTCTTTTAGCTTTCCAGACGCTAAAAGTCACATATTTTTCCTAAATATCTTGTATTTGATTGAGCTCAATGTGGTGTAGTGCCCATCAACTAGGCAGACTAAACGCTTATGCAGATGGTTCAATATGAACATCCTCTCTGGTATGGTTGAACTAACCAATTGCATGATGAGATTCCTCAAAATTCTCTGCTTTGTGTTTGTGCTTTCTTCTTACAATCTCAGTTTGTGGTTTTGTTTTTCTCCTACATGATCGGAATATGTCAACTTCTCTTTGAACGATTGGATTCAACAGCTTTATTTTTCAAACCTCACCATGTTGCATCCTTATCTTTTGTTAACACCTGAAAGAAGACTCCAGTCACTCCATGCATTGTTATCCTTTAGCCCTTAACCTATTTTACTGCGCTATTGCAACAATATTACCAGTCTTTGATATGCTATTTAATGTCGGATGATGATTTATTTTTAGGTCTTCTTTTATATCTCATGGATTACTTCACATTTTCTTTCTATAAATCATAAAAATCTGATATTGGACTGTTAAGCATGGATCTCATCCGCTTAGCATTTATATCCATCTTCATAATATGAAATATTAACCTTATAGATTTCTTGTAGAAACACTCTTTGATCTTTAAGTGCTTAGCTTAACATAACAATTCACGTTCAAAATTTGATGAATTTTGATTTATGGAAGCAATTAGAGAGAGTGTCTCTGTTATTAAAGGTATATTTTAGTCAAGTAAAACCTGTATTTATTTTACTTTCCTTGATGCGATTTAGAATTTAGCCATTTGCAAGTTGTTTTTTATATTAGTTATTAACTCTCTGAACTATGCTTAGCTTGGTTGCGTTTTCTATGTAATTTGGGATGAATAGCTGTTGACCTCATTTTTAGTGAGGTCTTAATCTCCTCGCTTTCCCTTGATGCGCTTTGCAGTCATTTTCAACATTATGCACATTAATCTGGCAGGCAAAGCATATCCTGCTGCAGGTATGTATAGATATATACATATATAGACATATATTTGTATGTATCTATGGATATATAGACATGTATTTGTATGTATGTATGTATGTGTATATATATATATATATATATATATGTATGTATGTATGTATGTTTGTATGTATGTATGTATGTATGTATGTATGCATGCATGCATGCTTGCATCCATGGATGGATGGATGTGGCTTCCGCAACACTATATTGTAAATCAAGGTACCTCACTTTTAATATATATAAAAATCAAAGCAATTAGTGTAAGTTCTTCCTTTAGTCTTCATTGGTTAAAAACTCTTTGGTGGTGCAACTACTACTTCACGATACCTTTAAGACATCTTTCATCACGATGCATCATATCAATTCTCATGATATTTGATTGTTTGCATTTTGAAGACCACATAAAGTTATATGAAGCGTTTTCTTCTTTTAAATATTTTTCTGCCATGTAAGTATGATATCATGTGAAGTAGAAGCAAGCGATCTTAAGTCTTCATTGAAGATTCCAATTTCAGCTTTTCAATTTGAATGATAAATGGTTGATTTGAGGCCACGATTGAGTTTTCAGTATATCTTTTTAAAAGTATTTGCACGCATACGCGTGCGCGCTCGCGCGCACACATACTACAACAACAACAAGCCTTTATCCCGCTAAGCGAGGTCGGTTGCATGAATCCTTTTTCTCCATTGCATCCTATTGAGTGTCATATTTTCATTTAATTCTAATAGGTCAAGTTCATGTTTTATACAATATGCGCAAGTCATTTTTGATCTGCTTCTGTCTTTCTTAACATAAGGCTTCTATCTTTCTTAACATAAGTCGAATCTAAACATCTAGTCTCTTATCTAGATCAACAGATGGTCTGCATTTAATGTGATCAAACCATCTAAGATGATTCTCGCTAATCTTGTCCGCCATTGGAGCTACCCCAACCCTATCACGGATATATATTTATTTTACATTTTGTCTCTACGTGTCAGGCCACTCATCCACCTAAGCATTCTCTGTCAAGATCTGACCCGATGAGCTTGGAATTACCAAGGTGAGAAATGACATTCGGATGGGGAAGCTGAAAGGTGGTGGCGTGGGCAACGTTGGGATAGGTTAGGGTACATACCCAACATGATGATAAGTTGGGAGGATTTTGTTGAGCTTTTCGGAAAATGGTTTGTTTCCCTAATCAGGTTGGTGCAAGCAGAGAAGTCAGTTATGCAATATGAAGCAGAGTTCACCGCACTGTCATAGTATGCTCTACAACTGATAACTATTGCAGAAGAAAAATGTTACAGGTTCCTTTTAGGATTGAAGGATTCGACCAGACAGTCGTTGGTGCCATTGGGGATTGATGATTATTCAGTTTTAGTGGAGAGGGCTAGACGAGTGGAGATTGATTATTAGCTTATTCAGAAGTGTAAGGAGATGCACAAGAGGAAGGGTGTTGATGAAGGAGAGCATGTGGATCAATCAGGAGAGTGCAACGTGAAAAAACCTAAATTCAATTCTGATAGATTTAGTCTGCGCGACGATAAATGTGAGACATGTTCATCAGGTTGGTGCAAGGAGAGAAGTCAGTTATGCAATATGAAGCAGAGTTCACCGCACTGTCATAGTATGCTCTACAACTGATAACTATTGCAGAAGAAAAATGTTACAGGTTTTTTTTAGGATTGAAGGATTCGACCAGACAGTCGTTGGTGCCATTGGGGATTGATGACTATTCAGTTTTAGTGGAGAGGGCTAGACGAGTGGAGATTGATTATTAGCTTATTCAGAAGTGTAAGGAGATGCACAAGAGGAAGGGTGTTGATGAAGGAGAGCATGTGGATCAATCAGGAGAGTGCAACGTGAAAAAACCTAAATTCAATTCTGATAGATTTAGTGGTAGCACTTCTCGTAGTTCCATAGTTGTGTCAAATGTGAAAGACAACATAATGGTGAATGTTTGTTGGGATCCAACATATGCTATTGGTGTTGCCAGCATGATCACATAGTTAGAAACTGCCCGTCACTTTGCCAGAAAACCTTAATGTTAATCTCTTGTCACGATCCAACTCGGTGAGCTTGGAATTATCAAAATGGGAACTGACTGTTGGACGGAGGGAACTTATCTAATAGTTTCATTTCATAATCAAATAAAATCCACCAAAATACAAAATAGTCATTCTAATTCATAAAACTTAATTTTACGACATTTGATTAATATTTAAACTTTTACATTTAACATAAAATAAAATTTAATTATAATACCTATCATCCCGTAGTCATCGACGTCTGTACACGGAATCTCTGGGGTTCATCTAGTCTATGGCTTGCTTTCCTATAAAAAATATTAACAATTATAGTTTGAGTTAAAACTACACTGAGTGGGTAAGTTTTTCTAAATTATTATAATTCTCATTTTTAAAATATGTTTTTAAAAGTGCTATAAAAGCTATGCAGTAAAAGAGTGGTAGTGACATTCCAAGCCCCTGTACCCAGTCGTGACAAGATAATAAAATTGTAAACAACTTATGGGTTGAGTTAATTTACTTAGTGGGTAAATGATTCTAAATTACAATAATTCTCATATTAAAATATTTTGAAAAAATTACAGTAAACAATAAAAATGACTGTGTAGTAAAAGAAAACAGTAAAAAAAAAAATTCATTTCTTTTCATTCATTTACTACACTTTTCATTATTGGGAGTCACCTTCTAAATGTATATTTTATTAAAATACATATTTAATCTTTTCCAACCCTCCATAAAGGTAGATAATATTTTTTATTTCTATTTTCATTTCATGCACGAGTGCAATACATTGTTCTGCTAGTACCATTGAGTGGTGACTCCCATATGCATGCATATATCATATTTTATTCATTTTTATCTTGCATTTAACATTTAAAAAAAAAATTCATTTAGTATTTAAAAGAAAACGTAGATTTTTGCATTTTAAAAATAAAAGTTAGGAAACAGTAAAAATATGTGTAAATGAACATAACTATTTGAAAATAAAAATATATTACCCACCTCAGAAATATCGTCTGCTATCATTTTTTTCAGATCAATCTAATCCTTTTTGTGAACCTAGAAGTTAACCTTTATTAGCATCTATCAGTTTTATTTTATTTTATTTTTCACATGAATTCTATCATAATTAGAATATTAAAATTTGTAATTATCTTTTATCTAATATAGTCATCAATTTAAGTGGCTTTCCTATATAAACATATATGTGTATACTTGTAGGGATATTCATTTCAATTTTATGTTAAAGCTTCTAACAATTTTTCCTTGTTGCAAACCTACTTGATATCAAATTAATTATAACTGAGTTTTAAATTTAGGATTTTTGATTTCCCCTTTAGAACGACTTAATAAGAAAAATGATAATTCATTATTGAAATCAAGTATTATACCTTGCCTTAACTTCCTCGTCAAAATCCTAAAATTGTAGGAATTAATATTTAGATTTTCTGAGGCTTAATGAAATTAATTAGGATTCTCATCTTCGCAACACCTAATTTTAGTTTATGCTTCTCCTTTAAAGGCCAACATTTTGTGCCATAGAGCGTTGCAGGTCTCACCTTACCTTATAAAATTTTCCTTTCAGTCTAAGCAGTACTTTTCTATCACACAATAGGCCTGAAGTATTCCTCCACTTCATCCAACCAACTTGAATTCTAGTCATCTATATCACCATCGCTTTGAACAATAAACCTGAGAAATCAAGTATTATACCTGAAGTTGTCCTCTTTATTTTTTGCCTTAACTTCCTCGTCAAAACCCTAAAATTGTAGGAATTAATATTTAGATTTTCTGAGGCTTAATGAAATTAATTAGGATTGTCATCTCCGCAACACCTAATTTTAGTTTATGCTTCTCCTTTAAAGGCCAACATTTTGTGTCATAGAGCATTTCAAGTTTCACCACCATCTTATAAAATTTTCCTTTCAGTCTAAGCGGTACTTTTCTCAATCACACAATAGGCCTGAAGTATTCCTTCACTTCATCCAACCAACTTGAATTCTACTCATCTATATCACCATCGCTTTGAACAATAAACCTGAGATTTTTATAACGATCGCACCTTTTAATGATTTGATTACCAATAGTTACAACTCTGCTACTAGAACTACTACTAAAATTACGTTCAATGTATTCACTTTTAGGTCAACTCAAACAAAGTCCTTTAGACTCCAATGTAGACCTCCATAATTCGAGTTTTTCTGAACATTTTCTCTAGTCGTATCCATAAGAAAGATATCATTAGCGAGAAACATATACCATGGTATATCCTTCTGGAAATGTCCAGTAAGAGCATCCATAACTAAAGCAAAAAGATATGGGTTTAAAGCCGATTCTTGATGTAATCCAACTGAAATAGGAAAATACTTGGTCAACTCTCCTTCTGTTCGAACACAAGCAACAACTCTAGTACACACATCTTTAATGACTTGAATGTAAGTCATATCAACACATTTCTTCCCTCGAACTCTCCAAAGGACTTCTTTTGGAACCCTATTGTAAGCTTTTTTTAAATCAATAAAAATCATATGTAGATCCTCCTTATTCTCTTTGTACTTCTCCATCAAATTTCTCAATAAATGTATAGCTTCCATAATAGACCAGCTCGATATAAATCCAAACTAATTATGAGAAATCTTAGTATCACGTCTTGACCTATGCTCAATTACCCTCTCGCATAATTTTAAAGAATGTCTCAACTTAATTCCTATATAATCTGCACACTTTTGTGCATCCCCTTTATTCTTAAAAATGGGGGCCAAATTGCTCTTCCTCCACTCAAACATCTTTTTAGTTAAAGAGCTTAGTAAACCAATAAACTCTCAAGTCTCCTAAATATTTTCACATTTCAATTAGGATATCATCAGGTCCTATTGATTTTCCACCTTTGGTTTTCTTTAAAACCTCATGAAATTTTTTTTTTGCTAATACAACGTTAAAAGTAAAACGTTTTATTATTATTAACGATATTAAGATTACTAAATTCAATCATATTTTTAGAAACTTCATTTAAAAATTTATTAAAATAGCTAACCTATTTATGTTGAATATATTTCCTCTAAGAAAATTGCTTTTTTAATTTTCATCTTTAATACACTTTACTTGAATTAAATCCTTACGTTTCTTTTCTCTTTGTTTGGCTAGTTTATACATATATATTTTCACCCTCTTTAGTATTAAATTTATTATAAAAATCACTAAAAGCAAAATTTTTAGCGTCATAAATTATTCTCTAAACTTCCCACCGACCATCTTATTTTTTTCCCAATTCTCTAAGTTTTTACATTTAAACTATTTTTTATAACTCAATTTTTTATATGTTATCTTTTCTTGCATATTATTATTCCACTACGAACTATTTTTGTTTATAGAAACTATTTCTTTTGATTTTGCAACTACATCTTTTGTCACTTGTTTAATAGTGTTTGTTAATTTATCTCACATAATATTTGTTTCTTCATGAACATCCCAAATCTTGAAATTGTGAAGTTTACTTATAAAAATAATTTTATTTATGTCTTTTAGATGCCCCATCTAATTCTTTGACAAATTTTTTAGCATTTTTTATCTTACAACTCTTCATCTTAAAATCCAAAATTAATAATCAATGCTGAGTACTTAAATTTTCAATTCGAATGACTTTATAATCTTTGCATTCTCGACGGTCACCTTTTCTCTTAAGAAATAATCAATCTGTGTTTTATTAGATCTATTCTTATAAGTAATAATATGCTCATCTCTTTTTTAAAATGAATTATTAGCAATAAAAAGATCATACACTAAGGCAAAATAAAATATAATTCTACTTTCTTCATTAATCACTCAAAAAACATAGCCATCATTAATATTTCTAAAATCTTCTACCGCTCTACAAACTTGTTCAATTAAATCTCTTTCAATAAAAAATTGTTTCTTCAAGAGGTATCATTTGTATTAATTATTTTAGGTCATTTTAAAATTTTTTTTATGACCTGTACCTAAACCACTATTTGAGGAGTATAAATACTTATAACATAAAAAATCTTAGTATCAACGACAATCTTAATGACTATTTTGGTCATTTCAAAATTTTTTTAATGACCTATACCTAAACCACTATTTGAGGAGTATGAATACTTATAACATCAAAAATCTTAGTATCAACGACAATCTTAATGACTATAATTCTATCTCCAATTCTATTAATTTTTTACAATATTTTCTTTCAAATTTTTATCCCTAATTATTAAACCTAATCTTAGCGTAGTTCTTTTATTTATTTATTTTGCTTCATCCTTAACGCCTAGACTACGTTTCAAATCTTCAAGTGTTATATATCTTGCTTTGCTTTTTTTTTACAACTTATTCTTCATCACCAGCAATATATTTGGCTTTGCTTGTCGAAAATTTTTAATAATTTCTCACTTTCAAGATCTTCTTTTTCTATGAAAATTTCATCTTTTAAATTTTTTAAAACTCTTTTGATATGCAAAAAATACTGTATCTCATGTTTTCATCGCTGCATCATTTTTTTTTTGGAAGATTTACATACACGCCTTTTGATTATTATGTATTTACATTTCTAACACCTAAACTTCAATTTATGCATGAAAAGTTGCATTTACTTTTAAGTTAAACTAGTGGTATTTTTGATTTTGTAGGAAGGTTGGGTGGTATAAATGTAAAAAGCAAAGTTTAGTTGTTTTATAAGTAAATATGTAAGAATTGTGTGGTATTTGTGTAATTGCCCCCCCCCCCCCCTCACCATCTCTGCCCCTTTTCTTTGACCCAAAAATGTGACAGAGCACAACACCATTAAAGTATTTAGGTGATCTGTCATTCTAAAGTGCTTACAAATCACATACACTGCAAAGTCATATATTATGCAAAATCAAGTTTAATTTCTTCCATCATCTCCTACATCAAAACATTCTTATTTTTATCTCCTACATCAAAACATTCTTGAATTCCTCCAAACTATTCTCCACTAAAACCTACATGTTATAAAGATAGCTATGGAGATCAAGATTGAGAATCATTGGTTAGTAATTGGTAGATCATGGATGGTTCCGAAGTATGCTGCGCCAAAATTTCTTCATGTTTAGCTTTGTTGATTGAAACGGTATCTGCTGCAATAACGAATTAAGTGGAGGAACCGTTTGGGATGAGAATTTTTCAGGCTGGAGTTCTAGTGAGTTATGGAATTTTAAATCTAAGGTTACAATGTGGAGGAGAGAGTGGGAGCATCATCTTTTGATAGAATATATCGGAGTTAAATATATAAATATAATGTTAAGAGGCCAAAAGGCATAATATATTTTAGATTATTAATTTTTTTAAACCTCTCATCTATGCATGATGCTTAATTTATTCATTTTTATATGCAAGTTTATTAGAATCACAAATTTCCACTCTTCCACTCTCTTCATATTGTTTGGCCCTGAATGAGTGTTTTCTTAATTTATTTTCTACTTTGGCATTAGTTCTGACTTCTGATTATCTTCTTTTTTTGCATAACTTTATGGCAACTTATGCAGAGCAGTGCGAAAAGGACAAGGCTCGTGTTCTTGTACACTGCATGTCAGGAAAAAATAGGTATTAGATTTTACTTTTCTACGGTTCTGATCGGATATGCATGAAATAATACCGTTGGGCAGATGGACTTTGTTTAGGGGCATTTACATACCACACCTTTCCTATGTATTTGCATATCTAACACCTAAACTTTGCTTTATTACATTTGTACCACCTAAATCTTTCATGTAACATCAAAATTACCATTATTTTAACTAAAAAAATGAAATACACCTTTTCATGCATGGGTAAGGTAGCATATATGTAAAAATTGAATTTTAAGTATTGGATATGTAAATACATAAGAATTGAGTGGTAAATTTTCCTTTTGTTGAACATTGATTCTCATCTTTTAAATGCATTTTATTTTACAGATCACCAGCTATTGTTATAGCCTATTTGATGAGATCTAGAGGTTGGCGTTTCCCACAAAGTTTTCAATGGGTGAAAGATCATAGGCAACAGGTTGAGCTGACTCCAGGTTAGCTTTCTATTTAAAGCTTGCTTTATCTCTAATATATTATAAATTTAATTTGATCTTTGTATTGGCACTAAAATTTATTCTAATGGGCTGGCTGTTTGGCTAATTAATAGGCTACTCACTATCTAAAGCTTTTCCTATGGTTTTTATTTTTGGAAGATTTACATGCATACCCCCTAAACTACAATTTTTATGTATATTCCATCTTATCTATGCATGAAAAACGTGTATTTCACTTTTTAAAATTAAAGGTCTGATATTGTTGTTGTGACATGAAAGATTTGGGTGGTATACATGTTCAAGAATTGGATGGTATGTATGTAAATGCCTTTTTTTTTTGAGGATTTACTTAAATACCACTAAATATTTGCTTAGTCTCCTATGTATTTACGCATCTAACTCCTACACATAACTTTTACGTACTTGTCACCTTATCTATGCTTGAAAATGTGTATTTCCGTTTTTAAACGTTAAAATAGAGGCATTTTTGATGATATATGAAAGATTTGGATGTTATGAATGTTAAAAGCAACATTAGATATGTAAATATACATAAGTAGCGAGTGCTATGTATGTAAACGTCCCCCTTCTTTTCTTCCTCTCACGCTCTTGTTCTATTAATCGTCCAGTTGTTCGAGAGCAATTACTCGAATTTGAAAAGCGACTGTTTGGTTCCAATGAAATCGCGGCATCATCAGCTTCTCAAATGCCCGTTTATGCTTCTCCTTTCGCTTTCAATCTAGGGTTTCCCAAAGCTACTGGAACCGCCCCAATTCCAGTCTTCAACCAATCGACAACCTCCTCGATCTTCCAACGCGTTGACACGAATATTGTGCCCGGCGCTTTCGTGTTCGGTGCAGGAAGAATGACTGAGCAGAGAATCATGGAGAGCAGCGCATTCAATGCAGTTCCGCCCACCGGGGCGGAAACCCCCATGGATAGCTCTTGAACAGCTTCAGACTATCAGGTTTGTTACCATACTTTGAATTATATGACCTCATGAATGGAGTTTATGTAGTCCCAATATGCTTATCATGGGGTTGAAGGGGAGCTGATGATCCCTTCTGTTGTTAAGGTTGGTGGGGGGTGGTGATGCAAAAAATTGTATTTTGCTTTGCATTTTCGCTCTTTCTGGAAGTAAAATATTTGATAATTTGAACAAAAACAGCAAAATTCTGTCCATATATGTATTTTAAAGAAAAAAAAAATTGTTTTTTTGATTGTTGTTTTCTTGTGTGCATATAATCATTTTCATTGGATTTGCTGGATGCTATTTTTGGGAATTTTTTTTATGTATTCTGTGTGTATTTGTTGGGCTAGTGCTAGTATTGTCTAACCAATTTGTGCTTCTTTTAATCTCAAGGTAGATGGGCAATTTAGCAATTTTGGTGAAGCGAACCAAATAGTCAAGGCAGTCTATATACATTAATTTGGGTTCTTTGATAGTATGGATCATGAATTCTTATTCTGTTTACATCATCTCTCTCACTCTATATCTAACCGAGACACTCGAGCTATCTATTTGAGTAATGATGCTTGATTGACTTGGTCATGTCGAGTCCTCACCTATGGACGAACCAATAATATTCGTCATCGTTTATCCAAGTACTTATGAGAATTGGTTGTTAATGTGCTCATGACCAGAGCGATTGTTGTCCAAAGTAGTCAAATGAGTATTGAATGATTGGTATTATAGCTATGACCTATTCAATTGAATCAAGTAAACTTTTGCCTAGTTATTATGGTCCTTGCTACCAATGGGGCTATAACAAATTCTTGTTGTTTGTGAGCAACTAATGTGCGGTTTGTTAAATAGTTCATGCTCGAATCATTCGTTCAGTATGCGAGTCGAACACGAATAATTTCTGAAAGCTCGAATTATAAATGTGTTGCACACAAGCAATGATTTGTTCATTATTCAAATATTGTTTATTCATATTTTAAACTCTCAACGAATATAATGATATTATATCATTCACGTATATTAGTTTCATCATAAAAAAATGATGGGATTGAATTCTTACATTTGATGAACTTGTACGCACAGTGAAGTAAAATGCATATAACTTGCCTCATTTCCTGAATAAGCTAAACATCAATAAATACTAAAACCATTAACTAATCCAACAATAATGATGAAATTTTACATATTTACCCTTAAAATTTATTCATTTAAATATGATTAATCATATTGATGTCAATTAGTAAATGATCAAATTCATCTCTAAATGACACTTTTATTTCATAATAATTTGCTGGAGTATTTACATACAAACCACCCAATTCTCATTTTTTTACATATCTAACACCAAAAATTGTCTTTTTACATATATAAACCCAAAAATTTCATATTGCATAAAACTATCATTGTTTAACTTTTAATAAGTGAAATATATTTTTTCATGCATAGTTTAAAGCTTAGGTGTACATATGTAAATACATCCGAATTGAGCGATTTGCATGTACATTTAATTAATTGCATCTTTTTACTAATATGGCCACATATGTAATTAGTTTAAATCATCATGTCAATTTATTATACATAAACATAAAAATAGATTTAATTGTCAAACTATTAAAGTCTATTTTAAATTGATCGCTTTAAAAATATCTAATTTTGAATTTTTTTTTAAATGTATCCAGTTTTTTAATTAATCATTTATAGTTTCAAGTAAACCACATAACATAATTAAGGATATTTTTATAATACTGATTTATAACAAATAATGTTTGATAGAAAATAATGTTTTGGGATATGATAAAAAAGAGATTTATCATTTAATGATACCACAAAACTTATGCATATCAATTCTATTTAAGCAACATAAATTACAAATTGTGTCGCGTACGTCGGCCTGTTGATTGACATCTACGGTATAAGACCCCTCGGGTCAAGGGTTCAAATCCCCTTCTACACAGTTGGTCTTAAGTAGGCGGTACTCGAATTATTAAGACATATTATGGGTGACTGGAGGCTCGTATAATAGCATTTGCATACCTACCACCCAATATTTATATATTTACATGTCTAACACCTTAGTTTTCATTTTTTATGTCCACTACACCCAAAATTTTCATGTCTCATACGAATATCATTATTTTAACTTCTAAAATAGTGAAATATATATTTAGCATAAATAAGGTGACATGTATCTAAAAATTAAAATTTAGGGTGCTAGTCTGCTAGATATGTAAATGCATCGCAATTGGGTTGTATATTCTATGATCTTTATTTTAATTTGAATTGGATGAACAGCCAGATCTTAGTTTGAATTCGCCCCAATAAAGAAATCCAATTTGGACATTTAAAGAAAGGAGCATTTACATAAACGGCACACAATTCTTATGTATTTACTTATCTAACACCCAAACTTAATTTTTTACATTTGTACCACCCAATTCTTTCACGTCACATCAAATATACGACCATTTTAATTTTTAAAAAGCCAAGTAAATTCTAATGCATAGAAACTGTGGAATTTATGTAAGAATTAAAGTCTAGGAATGTAAATACATAAGATATGAGTGTTAAAAGGAAAAAGTGAGGGACTTTTTCATCAAATCAAATTAAGCTTGAAAGATTTCCGCTCACTGGCTACTGCGCCGCTTCACCTCGCCGTCGTCCACCTCTACTCACCGGCGGCCACCCTTCACCGGCGTAGATTATTCAAATTGAATACGAAGCCTCTCCGTGGAGTTAGATTCGTCTCATCCTCCTTCAACTACACTGATTTCTCGATCTCTACCTGTAATTGGCTTTCTCAGTGCAGAGAAAGGAGAAGGGGATCTATCCCCACCCTTTAACTGCGCTAATTTCTCGATCTCTGTATGGAGATGGAGACGGCATTGAATAAGATCGAGAGAGCTCATCGGATGTACCGGGAATTAAAGCATCGAGATGCTCTTGAGCTTTATACGGAGGCGCTAGGGATGGCGAAGAACAAATCTCAGAAGATCGCGCTGCATAGCAACCGGGCTGCTTGCTATCTTAAACTCCATGACTTCAAGAAAGTTTTCACAGTACCTTTTTTATTTTTTTTTTCCTGGTTTTGTAGGTTATCTTGAGCTGTTAATGGGAAAAGCGGTTCGTTTTGAACCATTTTTTGGCTTAAATGTTGATTTTTTTTAAAAGAAAGGTAAGGAAAATTTCTGTTTTACATTCTTTAGCTTCAATGGCAGGAAGCTAACTACTGCAATAACATTTTGCAGTTATACATAGCAATTGAAGAATTGCAATTTACAAATCAAGTACCCTCTTTCATTCGATTTTTTAAATTCTCACACAAATATCAAAGTTCATGATGAAACCCAAACTCATATTTTTCTTTTTTTTATCAAATTCTCAATGGTTTGATCGGGGTACATGTAAATGTATCAGTTTGTTTGTTCAAAAAATCAGCTGAGGGCTAGTTTTGTAAATAACAATGTTTTGAAGGTTGTGTATGTAACTATCCCTAATATTTATTAGATGTGTTGGGTGCTTGAGATTCTTGGAGGAATTGATGGAATTTGAGAACATTCTCTGTTGTGTCTTAGAACTTTTCAAAACCTGCATAATAGAAGGGAGAAAAATGTGTTAAAGACTTCCATAATTTATGTAGAATATTAGTGTAACGTTGTTTCACCCCAGAGGAATTGGTGGAACTTTAGTACAAGATACCTATTATGTGATTAAAAAAAAAAAAGTGATGCTAATGGCGCTAACATAGGTCCTTTCACTAGGCGGTTGTAGATGTAATGAATTTTACCACTGCATATTAGACAACATGAAAAGAAGTGTTTTTTTATTTATTTTTTTACTTCTTGTGTTGGAAGTAAAAATTGAGTTTTTCAATGTCTTTTGATCTTTAGCTCACCTAGGATGATGTCAAAGTCACTTTTTGCAGCGCATTTGAGCTACCATCACAATGGTAGAATGATTGTGGTTGATTGGCAAGCATAGTTTAGTCCTCGGTGGTGTGCTTGCTATCATCTTATGCATCACATATGAAATTGTTTTTGTTGATGAGTAGGGTAACTAAGGATGAGGAATTTCTTTTGAGCTCTTTCTTTTGTGAGAAAAACCTACCATCGTATTTAACATCACTTTCTGCATTATTTGTTTCTATTATGATCAACTAATAGTGGAGATTGCACCCTCTAAGGCTAATCTAACCACCTCGCTTGGACCTGGATTGAGCCAATTGGTTGGCCATGACAACTATCACTGCAATGTCTTGGATCATTGATTTTAAAATATCACTTTATAGGCAATGATTTCACAAATGCATTGATGGTGAAGAGCTTGAGCTTCGACGGTTGATTGTAAGAAATAATATCATGAAGATTAGTTGCTTGAAATAGTTCCCCTTTGAAATATGGCTATTATATCCCATCATTTTACTTGGAGAAAATCTTCTTTATGAGAGGAGTAATTGAGATGAATGAATTGCAAAGTAGTGTTGTATTTGGAAGGAATTGCATAGTTTTGGTAGATTTAGGCCTTCCACAGCTTTTAGTTTAGTGATGTTGGTGTCCACAAACTATATGTGTACATGCTTTTATAGATAAAGAGAGGAAGCAATTCTTAAAAAAAAAATTCCATCTCGTCATATCTATTCTCGCATCATGTACTTTGCCGTAACATTGAGATGTTGGCATCAAAATACGTAATTAAATTACTTCATTGTTATCTCAGCTTCACAATTTGATTCATGAAAGCTCCTCTCTCTCTCTGCAAATGCAAGACTAAGACTGTATTCTAAAACTCCTCGAACAGTGCATTAGTGTGAGTTTCATGCACTGTGTTACACCTTTTATTTTTTTTATTTCCAATTGCCTTAACATGCATTTTATTAATGTGTTAAATATCATGGATAATATATTTCTATTTGAACTTATGATTTGATGGATTTTTAATTGCTCTTTGAATTCGATTCTTCGTGAGTGTTGCTATAGGCAGCTCAAGAGTGCACGTCAGTTCTCGATTTGGATCAACAACACACGGGAGCTTTGATGTTGCGAGCACAGACACTAGTCACTTTGAAGGATTACCAATCGGCCCTCTTTGATGTCAACCGACTTATGGAACTAAATCCCGCATCAGATGTGTATCGAAACCTACAAGATCGACTTAGAACACAGTTGGTATGCTTTTTTACCTCATTGTAGCACTAGAAAATTCCTTAATTGCAATTTTAGCTGGTAATGTTAGAAGTTGAGATGTTCTTTGCTTGTGTTATGGTCACACACATGATAACACTATTTTTGTGTGCATTTGAGATTTGGAAGGATTACATACATGCCACTCAATTCCTATGTATTTACATATCTCATACTTGTCACCTTGCCTATGCATAAAAAGATACATTTTACTTTTTAGAAGGTAAAATGGTCGTATTTTTTATATGATATGAAAGATTTTGTTGGTGCAAATGTAAAAAGTAAAGTTTAGGTGTTAGATACATAAATACATAGAAATTGCTTACTATTATATAAATTTATCGAGTTTTGTGATCATTTTCATAAATTTGTTCCATATCATCACACAAATGCTTCTTAAAGCTGATATGCATTCCCTCTCAGATTATTATTATTATTGAACTAACTTCTCTTGAAAACAATTTTTTGTATTATTTTCTTTCTATTGGTGATTTGATTTATTTTATTTATTGAATGACACACTTTTTCTACTGGCTTTTACGGTTTCTTTATGCCATTGAATTAGTCTCTAGCTCCAATACCTGAATCTGAGGATGAGTCATCGTATCATGACGAAGATGAGAATATCGAATCAACTGCTTTAAATAACGTAAAAAAGACGAATAAGGCTGCACTTATATCTCCTCATCCCACTGTTATGGAGACTCGAAAGCCCGAGACGCCAACTCACTCAAATCCACAAGGTTGGGAAGCCATCCCAAAACCTAAAGGTCATTCTGGTTTAGATTACTCAAGATGGGATAAGGTGGAAGAAGATTCAAGTGGAGAGGAAGAAGATGATGCAGAAGAGCAGCGGCCTCAGTACAGATTTCGTGTTAGAACTGTTGGGGTTCGTCCTGTAAAGTGAAAGGTTGAAAAGGAAATTTATTGGATTTAATTTTTACCAGATCTTTTGCAACAGTTCAGAATTTATAAAGATGAAGAATTTCATGGTGTGGTTTACTGAACCCAATCAATCAGTCACTGTATGAAGCAAAGGTGAGTTTTCATGAAATTGGTGTTTTAATTTTCTTGATTTAGGTTCTTGGAATGGGATAGGATTTCGGAATCTGATTTAAGGCAGGATAAGCTTAAAAAATTGAATTGTTTTATTTAAATGAAATGAAATTACTTTGATTTTGATATGTAGGAAATGCAAGAATAATGAAGATATTTGCTGTGAAATCAAAAACAAAAGGGGGATTTACATACATACCATGCAGTTATTTTATATTTACATATCGAACACCTAAACTTTCATATTTACTTTTAAGAAGAATTACATGCTTATCACTCAATTCTTCTGTATTTACACTTCTAAGGCCAAAAATTCAATTTTTACGAACATGCCTCCTTCCCTATGCATGAAAAGGTGTCTTTCACTTTTTTAAAGTTAAAATGGTGGTGTTTTTTATGTGATATGAAAGATTTGCGTGGTATAAATGTAAAAATTAACGTTTAGGCATTAGATATGTAAACACCTAAGATCTGGGTGCTATGTATGTAAATGCCCCTTTTATTACACTTTGGTGTCCTAAATCTATGAATGAAAATGTATATCTCAGTTTTAAAAAGTTAGTAATATTAGTATTTTTGAAGGATTAAAAGTGTTAGATATCTAACTACACAAGAATTGTTTGTATGTATGTAAATGCCCCCCAGAAAAAGTGTAACATTAATATGTTTGTATCTATAATCGGCAGAACAATTTTCATTGAAGCTCAAATAGAAATTCCCCCAACATTTATGGTAGTTTTACAAGAAAAAATATAAAGTTATGAAGATATTTCTTATGCATTCTACGACAAAATAACGAAATGTTCAATCATATTTTTTTTCTTTTTTAAGTATTCCATGACGCATGTCGTACGTTTATGTTTAAGAAATTATTTCATCGTGTGCTCATTTTTAGAACTCATTCTGATAGAGTTTAAATCGCTAACTAAATGGTCTGTTTGTGATAGTTTTTTGCTTGTGTTTCATACTCTCACTGTAACTTTGTTTGGGGAACTGCTTTCTTGCTAATTTCTAGAAATTTTTGTGGCGTAAAGCTATTTTTTTAACCTGATCCGTTAAAATGCGGTGACTGTAAGAAAGCTGCTCTCTGATTTTTTTGATATATATATATATAATTTTCACCGTAGCTTTCTAAAAAATTATTTTTTTCGTCACAACTTTACAATCACATTTTCGAAAAATTGCAGCCACCCCAAATAGATCCTGACAATCGTCTTCATATGTTCTATATGCTGCCCATTGAAACAAGCTTATATATTTGAATTGCAGGATCAGTAGAACCAGGTTTCAGCTAGATGTCATCAGCTATGGTTTTAACGACAACTGTTGCAGTTCCCTTAACTGACAGTTTCGATGAAGAATGGAACATATAATTTGTCTTATTGATATAAACATTGTAGAAATAAATGGAGTTTGCAGGACTTAGTGTTCTGTCATCTACCAGTGGGTGACAATTTGTATTTTGTTACATAACCTTCATTAATTTGTGATATTGTAAATACTTTTTCAATTTTTTTAGTTGGCTATACCTTAGAGATGGAGCAACTTAACCTATTAGTCGCTAGAGTCGATTGTTATGAAGAACTCAAGGGTCATTTTGGGGCAACTTATTTGGTGCGGTGGCGTTTTGAAAACACATAGCCTGTTTGGATAAATTATGTTTTGGCAGCTTATGCATTTTTAAACCGTTGAAACCAGCGTCTTCACACCGCACCTGTCTAGGTACGGTGGCAGCGTTGCGGTATGACTTTTCTAAAAAAAGAAGAATTTGTAGTAGACATCACACTAGCTTATCGACAGATTATTTTTAATTAGCTTATTAGCAGATTATTCAATAAGCTGCAGTTGCCCCAAACTGCTAATAAATCATTTGAAGAGTGATGAATATAGAGCTTGTGTGCGTGCCTTCAATGGTTAGATCATTAGCCCAAGTACTTGAATCAAGTTTTGTTTTGAGGAGGGCAGAAGAAAGTTTGTAAGGCGAGTATTGCGGGCAAATCTTGCTTGTTTGCTATTGCAGTTGCCATCAGACCGCCAGTGCTCGATTGATGCCATTACCATAGTTAGACCTCCGTTGTCGGATCTTCATGGTAAGATTAGTATTGTCTGGCTATCACTGCTATTGTTGCTAGATCACTATTGTCTAAAAGCCACATACATTGGTGACAACAAATCTAAATCTCCACCATAAACACCTTAACATTAATCTTGCTTTGTCGTAACTAGATCGATGTCTCTTCCCCAACATTTTCTGTCACACATCTAGTAAAAATTAAGTCTATTTCTCCCGCTATTATAATATTAATTTCTATTATTCAAGAGCGGGTAACATATACATAAATAGTGGAATCATTTCAACTGGTCTACTTAAAAACGTTTGTGCTCTTTCTATCAATTATTCTTTTATCTGCGTTCTAGATTTTTGTAAAATGCTAAGATGTTAATATATCTCTATCATCGTGAAATTTCCGGCATGCAACAATTATTTTTTTAAGTGAAATATATATTTTAATGCATATGCTTGTAACACCAAGGTGTTTTAAATGTAAATATCAAATTTGCGGTAACATTTGTATGTACACCAGCATTGTATGATATGCAAGTAAATTTCCCAGAACTAAATAGTACTGCATCAAGTCAACTGATAGCTCTCATCTCTTTTGAGCTAAATGCACTTGACAAAGAAATATTTAAAGGCTCTCAATAGTTAAGGGTGCCTTGTGTCGAAGAAAAAGTTATTGCGTCTGGGGTCTGTACACAAAACTGCGTCGGGACAACGGACGCGAAGCACTGATCCCCGAGAAGAAAAATATCTCACGTGATCACTGTATCACGTTTGTTGTCCGGATGTAACCAACGTCTGGACTCTGGATGCAATAACTTCTCTCTTTTACTAAATCGACAAAAAAAAAGCCATTGGATGTCCGAAAATGTAAAATTGAATGATGCTTGAATAATGCTATTTTGCAAGAAGAAAATAAGGTTAGAAGTTGGCTAAGTGGTTTTTTTTTTAATTAGAGCTTAATTATGTTATTTCTTTTGTATCTCAGTCTAAAAATGTATGTTAAGGACGGACAAGAATGGGAAGATTTACAGGCAAACCACTCAGTTTATATCTATTTGCATATCTGAAGTCTAAACTTCAATTTATTCAGATGCATTTTATGTTTTTAAAGTTAAAATAAAGATATATTTTTGTGATATGAAAGATTTGAAGGGTATAAATATAAACAAAAAGTTTAGGGGTTAGATATGCAAATACGTGAGAATTGGATGGTGAACATATAAATGACCCCCCAAAAGAATTAGTTATAATGTGAATTTTACTTAATGTTTATGGGTCTGAGACTGGAAAGTAAGAAATAAAAATTACGATTATACCATCAATTCCTGATATATAAATCATAGAATTCTTGCAAAGCAGAACTCTGGAGTAGTTCCATGCCTGTCCCTAAAATTTATTGGCTCGAGCATATATATCATTAAACTAAGGCCCCATTTGGGTCAGCGGTTTTATTGCCGCGTGGCTAGAATATGTGACTCTTTTCAATTCTCTCGTGTGTCTTGCCCTAACTGCCCCTCCTCTTCTGCGATCCTTTCTGTCATGTCTTGCCCCAGCGGCCCTCTCCTCTACCCTCTCTTTCTCTCATGATTCTCGCAGTTGGTGTTGTGCCTCCCTCGGTGAGTTCTCTTCTCCCTCTCCTCTATCTCCTATGCGGCTTTGTTTGGATTTTTGATCTGTGTGAGGTGTTGCTTCTTCATGCAGTGCTTTGTGAGTGATTCCTCTTTGTGTTGGGTAATATTTACCTTAACTACGTCATTGTCTTTGATTTTGGAAATGTGTATGTATCTGATACTTTCGTGGTTTCCTCTTTACGATGGTTCTTCATGTTGGGTAATATTTGTGTGGTGGTTTCTTTATCTTAACTATGTGACTTTTGGTTTTGTGCCTTTGTGCCCACTGTGGGTTTCTTTGTGCAGCGATTCATGTTGGTGTTGGTGTGGTTCTCCGTGCTTAAGAATTTTGTGGTTTTTTTTGCTAATATTTTATACTACATTGCTTTTCGGTTGAAATTGGATTTTGGAATTTTTGGGGATTCTATGTGCAATGACTTGGATTTTTTGGATATTCGAATTGACAAATGCTTATGCTTCATTGTTTCTCAGCTGAAGTTCGATTTAGGATTTTTGGGGTCCCACGTGTAGTGGCTTAGATTTTTTAGGTTTTCGATTTGACAAATGCTTATGCTCTCCTTTATGTTCTTGAATTATGGTGTAATACGTGCTGGTTTTGAATGCACGTGCAATGGTGGATTATGATTTTCCTTTTGCTCAAGTCACTGTACATTTGGTTGATGTTGATTTATGGTGTTGATTGGGTGGATGTGGGGGTGGATCTGTTTGTGTTGAAGGATGAGGAGGTGGTGATGAAGGGAGGTTGGTGCATGGATGTGGTGGAGGTTGAGGTGAAGATGAGGAAAGTGCAAATGAGATGACAGAGTTGATGAAACAAATTATGAATGAGATAGTTGGAGGGTGATTGAAGAGAATGTTAGATTTAATTTATGTTAATTGTAATGGTTGTTGAAGACATTCACTGTTTATTATATCAAAATTTTATACAGTTTATGCATATTTCTGCTCCTTATACAATTGATATTTACTTGTATTGATTTTTGTGCAAGTTATATGTATTTTTTTTTCCTTTTGCATTTTTTTTCCTTTTGGTGAATTTTGAAAGTCTATAATGAGACGTTTGACCTTATGAGTTTTTCTGGATTGTCTGTATGTCACTATTGGTTGATGTCATGTGTGAAATCATAATGACGACAACCAAGTTCCTCTCTTTTTTTCGGTGCTACGATTCTTGAGGTTCTTCCGGACGACATTTTTTGATGATATACATATGTACACACGAGTTTGATATTACGTGGGTTAAAAACAATCAAAAATCTTTTTTCTATAAAATATGTTGTCTTCTTGTGGTGACAAATTTGTTGGTTTATATACTGAGTTCTCTGAGATCTCACAGCTGCATAAAACTATAATTAATTACTTATGTTATCAATTTTTACTTGTGTTATATCTAAGGGTGTGTTTTTTTTAAGTCTTCAAACCTAACAACTGCATAAAACTTTAATTAATTACTTATATTATTAATTTTTAGTTGTGTTATGTCAAAGGGTATGTTTTTCTAAGCCTTAAGGAAAGATGAGTTCGAGGCTTTCTGGTACTTCCAGAGGATTGCACTGCTACTATGACCTTCAATGTTCCCTGCACGCTTCACGTCAGGCAGAGTTTTACAAGTGCCCAAGAAGAATCACAAAAACTGTGACTATTTTTGGTGGGCAGATGAGTTGAAAAATTCTACTGCCGAGAGTGATCGGGCATATCTCTAGAGAACAACTTAGCTCGTGACATAAACCGTCTGCATTTTAAAAATAATATTATAATATAATTAATTGTTATTTTATAAATTTTGATAGTCATGCTACTAACTCTTTAGTGAGGTGTTTATCTTTATTTGTGATGTTTAGCACTGAATATTTGTTTTTAAAGTATAAGATGTACTGGTGTGATAGTTATGTTGCCAACAACATTACTATACAAAAGCAGAATGATCATTTGTCCAGAAACAGCTGCAACACAATTGTTTTCAAACTGCAAAAAATAAACAAACAGTCAACTTATCCACAATAGCTCCTGCGCAACAGCTTTCTGTGACAGCTACTACGCAACAACTTATTATTAAGCTACAACTGCCTCAAACATACCTTAAGAAATTCTGATTCACGCGCCAACACCTAAACTTTACTGTTTACATTTATAACGCCCAAATATTTCACATCCTCTAAAAAACAACATTATTTTAACTATTAAAAAGTAAAACGCACCTTTTTTATGCATAAGATAAGTACCATATATGCACAAAGTGAAGTTCATGTATTAGATATCTAAATACATAGGAATTAAGTGGTATATCTGTAAATCTTCCATTAAACAACATAACATAATAGTTTTGAATGATTGAACACTAATAGAAAAACTAAAGGGTTTAACACTGAAAATCTCCCCACCTCTCTCTCTCTCTCTCTCTCTCACCACAACACTTTCATTTCTTCCTCCTGTAATGCAAATTACAAATTTTATTGAAATGTAATCCTGAAACTAAGAATTTCCCCCATACCTCCTAATCAATGAAAAAAATCATATATAGGTTCTCCAACCGTTCTCAAATCATGGAGTCTAAGTAAGATAGATTCCTACAGCGCTTGTACTGCAAGAGACTGCCATAAGTGCGGTCCCAAACGCCAACAAAGAGAGCTTCAGTATCAGGACTAAAAGACATACCAGATATCTCCCCAAAGAAATCCAGCTCCTGCTGCTTCTCATAGCCGCCGCCGCTTCTTACGTCGAATATGTGAACGAAATCTGCTGGTTCAGCCATTGCCATGAACTGGCCGTCAGATGTGAATCGAATCGATCTTATTGCTCCGAGATTCGCTCTCAATATGGCGATGGATTTTGACATGTTTCTAACATCCCATACTCTGCAGGTCTTGTCCTGATTGCCGGTTGCGAAGATCCGGCCGTCGGGATTCCACGCGGATGCGAAGGAGTAGTCCAAGTGGCCTTGCAAGTCATGGATGGTCTGGGAGGGAGGAAATGTTAGTATACTGTATTCAGTGGCCGAACCAGAACTTAAGGAGAGGGGTGATGACATAGCACACAATTCTTATTTATTTAACATATCACACCTGAACTTTCATATATTTATACACAAAGCATTCAAATATTAAATATCAAATAAAAAATAATACTAATACCACTTTTAAAAGTAAAATGCTCTTTTTCATGCAAATGTTTAAAACACCAAAGTGCTATGTATGCAAATATAAAAGTTTAGGTGTGAGATATGTAAATAGATAAGAATTGTGCGCTACGTATGTAATTTTTTCTCAAGTTTAAGACTTTCATCTACTTTAATTTTTTTTTTAAACAATAATAAATATTATTATTAAATTTAAAATATAATTAATATTAGTATTTATGTTTAAAAGATAAAATTTTCAATGTATAATATGATATTAAAGAGTTTGATAAAAATTTAGGGGTGACAACCACCACTGTCTGTGTCATTCTTTTTGTCAACTAACTCGAAGCATTTTAATTATTGACATTAATTACCTTTCCGGAGTGCGAGTCGGCTATGATTCCATCCGGGTTGTCTCCCACAACCACAAGTAGTTTTCCATCAGGACTGAGAGATGAGTGCTGCAAGAGAATAAGTGGAAGGAATAGCATCCCAATCCATGAAAACATTTGACAAATTCTCATTTAAATGTTATTTATATGTTAGTGGTATTAAGCTGTAAATGTTGAATTTCAAATATTGTATGTTATTTTAAAAGTACATCATGAGGTTTTAGAAGATGTCCAAATTCAGCTGACACTGAATGTCACTGGTTTAAGACACATCTATCTTTTGCGGCATTTACATACATACAACCCAATTCTTATTTATTTACATATCTAATAACTAAACTTTACTATTTTACATTTATAACACCCACATCTTTTCAATAATACATTAAAAATACCAACATTTTAACTTTTAAAAAGTGAAATGCAAGTTTAGGTGTTATATAAATACATAAGAATTGACCACCATGCATGTACATCTTCCTTATCACTTGTATGAAAGTTATTTGAAAATGAAAGCAAATTAATGACTGAAATTTTCAAATAATATGGCATAATATTGCGATATGTGTGAATCAAAGAGCCTCTTAAGACACTATCCTCAATTTTATTGAGACTTAACTGTTATCTGTCAAATAATATGATTCGTCTATCTAATATCAGTAAAAAATGAGCATAATTATCATTTTAAATATATTATTTAAAGATGCTGGTGACATATCAAAATAACATAATGTGATATTACACATGCAGCCTCTTCATTTAAAGCAAGTGTTTTCTTATTTTGAACAAATGTGAACAAATATATAATTTGCATCAAAATATTCCGATAATGTTCTCTCCCATATAAGTCATATGTAATATATATATATACACGTGAGCAATAGTCACATCTGCATCTGAACTTCATAATGAAATTACAATATTATTTCAAATTATTTCTAAGCAGATGAAAATTTAAAGCATTACAGAAAACAAAAAAGAAACCGTCAAAATGTCGAAATTAGCTTACATTAACAGGCCATGGGAAAGAAAATTGCCTGGAGAGCTGGAACTTCTCCATGTCATAATCTCTGACTCCAGAATCATTATTTGAAGCCATGAAGTGAACGGCACCGCTGATAAATTAGATACCAAACTAGATCATAACATGATTAAAAAATATAAAAAAGGGAAATTTGCATAAACATCACACAATTTTTATGCATTTGCATATCTAACACCT